CTTATGAAATAAACTAATTTAAGATAAATTAGGTTAATTTGAATTACCGTACAAACATTTCTTAACTGGCTATGTAGCAATTATTTAAATTTTGCAATTTGCTTTTTGGTGGTGTAATAAGATGTTTCTAAAATGTATGAGGCTTTAGTTTAAAAACTTATAGATATACACAATAATTTCAAATCTAACAGACTGTTAATATTCTTTGACAGCAAGATTTATGTGATAATAAAGAAAGTTATTCCTCAAAACGATAGTAACTGTCTACTATAATCCTAAATAGAAATGTTCACTACAAAAACCTCTTATTTCACTTTTGCTTTTACTTCTTGATTTTTATCACTTAGGCACTTGATACATACAGAGCTATTCAGACTGAATGACGTGGAGATTTTACGTCACGATGAATAATATAAATTTTTTTGGGATGAACTTGGTGTTCTAGATTAGCGATTTAAGTAACCCTTGGGGATATTTCGGATCCCATACGTAATAAGGTCATATATATATACCATAAAGAGGTCAAGGAGCTGGCTGTTAACCGTGAGGAGTGGAGGAGGCTACACCGATAAGAGTCTGGCTCTTAAATAGGATGATGATGTAACAGCATTTGGTGTCTAAGTATTAAGTCCCATAAAAATATCGCCTTATCGCTTACATGTGTATCGTCAAAGAATTCTTAACGAAAGTGTTTTTTTTTGCCCATAACTAGTGCGAAGGGAACATACGAGAAGGGAAACACACACTTCGAATTCAAGTGACCTCACTAAGGTAGGTTAACCAGTTGAGTCAGACGAAAACCTAGAAACTATTGTTATCGGCAAACAAACAGATCTTTTGTTCACTTAGCCATGCCGCGACACCTCGCCACAAAACTAAACTAACATGCATGTTAACGTGACCGCAAGACATCATCAGATCGCCAGATCATCATCTGGCTAGATTCACCGTATATTGTTATTTCTTCTAACAATAATTTGGATTGTTGAGCATGTGTGTCTATAAGGAGGTAGCCAGATGCAAATTAAATCACTTATTGTTTTTCAATTTGTGATTTTTAAATAAGTTTAATCTTTTAAATTAGCAAGATGAATAAGAAAAAATATTGTGGGGTGAACTTGGTATGTTCCATATTAGCTCGCTTCGACGATATTTGGTAGTCTTGGCGTAATAAGGCCATATCTGCATTAAAATAACTTTTCAGGAAAGAGTTTTAAAAATTGTACTCACGAAATTAGTCGAAAACTTTTTTAAGCTTAAATAGGAGATTATAATATTTTACAAATATATAAAAATGGGTTTCATGTATTAGTATTATATTTATAATTTTCATTTGATAAAAGCGCTCTTGACGTATGATCACATGCGACTTTAATAGCAGTAGAGCTTCTTGTGAAACAGTCCATCCAGGGAAGTACGGCCACTTTACGTATTTCTGCCGCCAATGTGAACGTTACTGCGTTCCGGTTTTGAAGGGTAAGAGTGCTAGTGAAATTACAGACACATGGGACTTTTTAACTTATGTCTCAGGGTGATGGGTGCAGAGCCAGTGCACCTCAGATCTTTGCGATTTAAAGCTTTGAGTGCAGAACTGTTGTAGACAGGCGTGTCGTTTACCATCAGGCGCGCAGATTGTATGTCCCGTCACTTAGTATCATAAAAAAAAACTTTATTTCACCAAGGATGCAATTTATTTGTGCTGAAACGATCGAAGTGACAGGAGCCGTTTTCAAATAAATTGCAAGTACATAAATAAGTATACAACGTTGTTGTAAGATGATCGTGTCGTGTGTGACTAATGTTGACAAATTGCTTTTAGCAATTATTGCGTAGGCTATGATTTAGTGTGCACTGCAATGGAACGAGTTCGCTTTCTCCCAAACCCGTTAACTGGATCAATTCGACACTCATGTCGTGTGAAATGACAATTAGCTCAATCCACTACGTATACTTTGAAATACGCTTACTTTTTGTGTGTGTGAAGTAGTGACACTGTGGTAGCAAAGGCGAAAAATCCATATATGGGCTTCAACCTTGTGATGAGAATTGAACGGAAAATATTTGCCATTGAAGCATTTGCATTACATTCTTCAAATGGGCCAACCGTGGCTACTGACAGCTAGCATTCTAGCATTTCAAAAAAGGAGATTCTCAATTCGACTGTATGTATTTTTTTTTTATGTATGTTTCTCCATTGTATCTCGTTGGAAAGAGGATACCTCAGGAGTGGTCCCATTTAAATTTGAAGAAGATATTCAAACTCTAAGGATGGCAAACTAGGGAATGAATGACTTTTGAGGTCGGTTTTTTGACATCAACGTTCGAGTGAATAGTAGAAAAAGTTTTCTTTAAATTCTGTGAACATTACACAATAAACTACTTAGTTATGTCTGTTTATACATAAAGAAGTAACCCACGTCAATGTTATTCCAACAAAATGTCTAAAAATCGTGCTGTCTGTAGACGAACATTAGGGACATCCATTAGTATACTCCATATTATGTCTGTAACGCAAAACGACGGCACGTTCACTTTCTCCCTTGTTTCCATGCACCAATTGTTTCCTACACCTGACTTTAGTCGGCCAAACTAGTAGTTGTTGCGTAAATCAAGTTTTTGTATTTGTATTATTATCTTTATGTCATTTTATTCGTAAAATGGCGTACTAGTGAGCTACTATAAATTGAGAGTAAAAAATAATAAATGGAATCACTAAGCACCTTTGTTCGTCATATCGTATGCATTGTATGTGCCCTTGGGAAAATAAAGCCTCCAAAAGTGCTTTTGTCACATGAGTCTTAAAAATAATATGAACTACATGAAACAAATTATGTATATATGAAATTAATAACTTTTTTATTTAAGCATAAAACAATTAACGACTAATTTCGTTCATGGAATCTATAAACCTCCCCAGAAAAGTTGTCATTTTTCAAATGTGGCTTTTTTATAAGTGGCCAAGTGGCGGGACGAACAAGTCGTGCACCTGGTGGTAAGCGACACGCCTATCCATAACAGTTGTTGACTTGTCTGGTTTGGTTTTTACAAACAGTGGATTTCTTTCCTAGTAAAGTAAAACTTATCCATTTTTAATATTTTTTATGAGAGCAAGTGACGGGACAAACAAATGGCGATCCTGGTGGTAAGTGACACGTCTGTCCATAACAGTTGCAGTTACACTCAGAGCTTTAAATCGCAAAGATCTTAGGGTCACTACCACTGCCCCAGTCACCCTGAGACATATGTTAACAAGTCCCATGTGCCCTCAATTTCACCAGCACCCTTACCCTTCCAAACTGGAACGCAGTAATGCTCACATTACTGCTTGGCAGCAGAAATAGGTAAGGTGGAAGTACTTCCCTGGACGAGCTCTTTCACAAGGAGCTCTACTTCTGTTTAAAACGCAACCTTACATCAAGAGTGCAAAATATTAAAAAAGCCTTTTAGTAACTTCCTATCGTTATTTGAACACAACATGTACTAGTATACTCGTATAACCTAACATTATAGCCTGGGTGCCTTAGTAAGAGGATTTCTAAGTGGCGACATAAAACCGGAACATCTGTAGCAATACTAGTTTCCTTTGATTTACGTGCTCAAAAATAATTAGACTCTTAATCGATATGTTAGCACTCTTCCTATATTAGCTATTCCTTAACTAAGTGAGCTGTCATAATAAATATGACTGAGTACGGCGAAAGAATAGTTTTTTAGTATAAGAATAGAGGACTTTTTGAGATTGTTGCTCTAAACTATGTAGGATCTTGATACCTGTGAATATTCTTAGAGACGTTAACGTTTGACTGAGACAACGTTGAGATGCGGAAGCCAACTTGCTCAGCTAATATCAATATTTAAAATTATTCGTATTAGCCGAGCAGGTTGGCTTCTAATTCAATTTCTTTCTTCTTTGGCTTCTAATTATTTCGTATTATTACAGTATGATTGAGGCGCAAGGTAAATCTAAAAGTATTTTTTTGTAATATTTTAGAAATTTGGTAGGTGCACGCTAGCGCTTAAATAAAAATATGTAAAGGTTTTATTAACGTTTATCGTACAAACAAAAACGTAGTAAGTAAATTTCGCAAGTACAAACCTACTTAGTGATTGAAATAAGTTACATTTATTTTCGCCGTTCGTAGATAAGTAATGTTATCCACTTAACTACGTCATAAACCAATGCTTGCAATGCAAACGACACTTTTAATACATTGTGCTAATTAAGAATGTGTTATCAATTTAAGACGTACTTAAGTTTAGTGCAAGTGGACATTAGTTTTACAACTATAGGATTACAAAATTAACACAATTTCATCTTTTACTGGTGAACAAATATGGAACTAAAAACATTACGCGATGCATTATTCCTTGGATTTTATCAAGGATTATTGCAACTTTCTTCAGTAATCTGGATAATAAATGAGGGGGGGACCAGGGATTGTTTCGAATGAAAATCGTCTTTTATTTTACAAATTGGCTGTCTAGGCCCTTAAGGTACCATAGGTCTAGCACAAAAATATCTCTTGTATGACACTAAGAGAATTGTTTGGTTGGTAGATTTTTGAAACATTATTTATGATTCTAAAGCGCCACTGTGAACGGCATAAATAAGTTTGTCGTGTGATATGCTGTACGACAAGTTCACAAGGTCACAGAAGAAACTAGAGCAAAATATTTGCAAAGTTGTAAACAATTTGGATCTAGTATTAAATAAGAATTAAAATAGTTTTTTTTTATGTGGAGTTATAAAGTATATTTATTTAGAAGTTTAAGTTTTTTAATGAGTATAAATTTAAATAAAGCTTAAATTTAGTTTTAAATCATACGATTTGAAATCACATGAAATCAATTATTGAAAATAATGAAGTCACCTTTTTAAGTGATATTGCATTTAATGCGTGTTTAGGTTTATAGGATTTTAGGAAAAAGACTGGACTTTTTCCGTACCATATTGCCATTTGTTAATGTGCAAGTAATATATTATTTTGGTAATAACTTACGCTTTCAGCCGAAATAGCGCTGTCGCTTGAAGAGATACCAAAAACGCATAGGCAGCAAACTAGAGCACTAATCTTTCGAGACATTTTCACAAAAACACAGGTTCTTTTTTTGTATTGTAACTGTCACTTATTTATTTTTTAAATTTTGAATTGCGAACTTTTATTTTGCTTTTTGAACGACGTGCGGCGAAAGGCGCGCGGCTGTTCGCAATATGACTAACCAGTAGCGTTTGCGGGATTTTGAAAGGCCCGCGTAGGAGGGTTTCGCGCTGTTTTCTGACATTACGATTCGTTTCATGCAGCAACCGTTTAAAAGAATATTATTATGTTGTTATAATACAGAGCAATTGCCTTTCTTAAATCTAATTGTTGAAAGTTCGCTTCCTAAAACAGCAGGCTATCTCAAAAAATCTAAATAATATTGGTTTATAAAACCTTAGGTATATTTTTGTTATTTTTGCTTTTTGTCTGTTTAGTCTTATTTTATTTTGTTATATATATATATTCCGGTTCAAAGATGTCACGCATGATTATTGTAATTAACGAAAATTTTGGTGTATTAGGTGTACAACAAATTTAGCACATTTAGTAAACGGTAGTAGTAGGTAGTAACTAGACGGTAAAGGATTTATTTTTTGTTTTAGTCTTTTAATTTTGCATGAGTTGGGGAAAGGTTTAATTGATTAAAAAGTTTTCAAATAATGATTGAAAGTGCTTTAATCAGATCAATAATAAAGGAAACATTGTTATTCGAGAAAAAGTAGAGCCTGATTGAGAATCCAGTCCTACACTGATAATTCAATAGATAATACAATTAATGATTGGCTCATTGCCCGTCATCGGTTTCAAAACTTTATATATATGTGCCAAGTTTTATTGAAATCAGTGAACGTAAAGTAGGTGAAATTCAATAAATTGTATTCATTCCCTAACTTGCCACCCTCATTTTCTTCAAATTTGAATGGGATCACTACTGAGAATATCCCCTTTCCAACAAAAAAAGAATGATTGAAATCGATTCACAAACATGGGAGTAAACACATAACGTAAACACAAAAAAACACGAACTGAGAACCTCCTCCTTTTTTGAAGTTGGTTAATAATAACTATTTTAATTTGGGCCACTATTCTTGAAAAGCAGTTCATTTACCAACACGGCCTGTTAAACATACTTTCGATGTAATGGTAATTAAAAAAAATGTATTTTATGCAATCGTTGCATAATGAGGGTTCTTAAAGACGAGGACCGTGTTTAGGCCACGAGGCTTTGCTGAGTGATCTATGTAGCCTAAGTAAAAGAAGTACGAGATTTTAAGACCTAACTATTATAATGATTGCATACAATACCTTTTATAAGAATAAATAAAATAATGAAACAGAGCCAACACTTAATGTATATTTTGTTAACAATCAATGACAACAAACGCAATTTTTTTAAATAAATTCAAACCTATTTATTAGGGTAGGCAAAGTTTCCATCACACGGCCTCTTCATATATTTAAACGAAAGCCAAACAAACGCTACAAAACAAAAAAACAAATAGATAGAATAGAAGTGGCCAACTACCGCATAAATTTTAACCAATATTTTTTTTTATAAAGATTTATGGCCCGATTGCAAAACTTTTAAGCCAATTTAAGCAATCAGTAATCAGTATAGCCTTTGAGTAGCGTCCTAATTGATATTCAAAAGTACAACGTTATTTCTTTGAATGAGTTTCAAAGAAACAACGTTGCAATTAATTAATGATAGTTCTGTGTACAGAAAATTGATATCATAAAAAAACTTTCATGGAATATTTCATCCTTTTTGATTTCAGCTCAGTGGCGAATATATTTCATTTCTCTTTTCTCTTTCTTTCATTTTCATTTTCATATAGTTTGTAAAAACCAAATCAGCCAAGTCTTAAAGTGGTTTTCCACCGGTAAGACGAGACGCCCTTAAGAGTGTTTGAAGAAAAATTGAGTTTTCAGTTTAAAATTAACATATCGTTTTCGTAAAACATCAAATACATCTAGTAATATTTGTTACAAATAAAAGATGGCAGTAATTAACGCATTTCTTATTAAGGCCGAACATAAGTAGGTTTCAGGCGTAGGAAACTGACCTTCGGTTTCGGATTGACTAGGTTTAGCTTTGCATGCACTCGTAGACCCGCACTAGGAAAACCAAGTGCGGGGCTGCGGACAGGGACACATACATAGACAACCACAAATTACACCCAAACTCACAAGAGAAATAAATGTAGGTCATACAAATATTTTTCTCGGCCCGGGAATCGAACCCATTACCTCTGCGTGGCAGACCAGCATGGTAACCGTTTGGCCACAGAGGTAGATAAAAATAATAGCAACAAAAGTACTATAGTTATTTGCACTGTATATGGAGCATGCGTAACCGAGACGGCTCATACTTTACTTTACGTATTCGAAAGATAAAGGTGATAAGACGAATCGGTGCAAATAATGTTTTGTCTACTATTGTAGGTCAATGTCTACTAAATGGTAAATAACCATAGTATCGCCTCGCTTGCAAAACGTGATGTGGTGATTATGGCTGTAGTTACGTTGGAATGAGTTACTATAGTGAATTCCAAACATTGAAATACTTGTAATCGTTTTGCGTAAACAAATGCAAGTAAGTTATTTAGTGTGATTGGTAAATAAATAGTTACTCAGCAATTATTATTTTTCTGAACACTGATGTGGGTGTGGAGGGTTAACAGTACACATTTATACACACTGTGTATTGATTGTATCTTGTAGTGTGTTTTAGGCAGTTTTTTATTCTTAGGAAATTAAGAAAATATCAAAGATAATTAATGTGACAGCATTTATAATTGTTCGCCACAAAATAACCGGAGTTTAGTTCAGCGATGAGAAACAAGTGGAAACAAGGGTTTTTTTAATACAGAAGTAACAGACGACGACACATGTTAAAAATGAAAAAAAAAAACTGTGCTGATTTCACCTTGCATTTTATGCACTTTACCCCAATTATTAGATCCACGACATACAAAAAATTTACTGCTTAGGACTATGTCTTTTAGTAATAATTATCTATCTAATTGTCCTTGGTCCAATTGTAGACTGTATGTGATAGCGATTATATTATATTATATAAAATGTAAGCCATCCTTAGCACACAATGGATCAAATCCTATTTTAAAAAAAGCATGTCTGAGGCCAAAATTTATATTTAGACAAATTTCGAGGTGTAATATATATATGAATAAATTATTGAAAAAACGAGTCACAAGTCATTGAAAAAATGAGATAATATTTGTATTCTTTTTTCGCCTTGGTGACGACGAACACATTCTAGAACAAAGAATAGTAAGTACCAAAACTTCAGTTAAACTTATTCTAGCTATTTCGTCTTCGACGCCTTTTAATGTTAAAAATTTAACTAATAAAGTAATTTATATATGTGGCATTAGTTGTATTTTTCGTATTTTAATGTAAACTATTTGTATTCCTACCTTTTTGCTGAGAAGTTTTATTAAGAAGAAATAAGAGAGGGGTGTCAAAAGTGGTCAGATTTGTGTTACGTTGTTTGCCATACAAATTAAAGAAAATAATAAGAAAACTAGGTTCATTTATCATCTGCAATCCCACATATATTTTAATATATTGTAGTATAAAGTACTTTATAATAGTATATTATGCAATCGTTGCAGAAAGAAGGTTCTTAAAGCCGAGTACCGTGTTTAGGTAACTAATACGTATATTTTGTTAACAAAAACCGCAATTTGAAAAAAAATTATCTTAATCCATTTATACGCAAAGGGTCCACCATACAGCCTCTTCGTATATTTAGACGAAAGCAAACAAACGCTATAAAACAATAATCTTTTAGGCCTTGGAAGAGACGAGAGTCTATAATCTCAGTACGGAGTACTAAAAAACCGACCTCAAAGGTACGTGAAATTACATCTATTTGCCAAGTTTTATTGAAATCGGTTACCGGAAAGTGCGCAAATCGCCACTATACGGAGCTTGGCACAGGAGATAATAAAAATCGGTTCTCATTACTCAAAGTATGTTGAGAGAGAAAAATGCCTTGAATTAGAGAATAGCAAAATCAACCATTAAAATAATTACTCTTTATAATAAAATTTAGGCGCTATTTATAAAAATGAATCTTCATCCGTGAACAGCCACCCTTAGAAGTGGATGATTTTTTTCAAAATTAAATGGGACAACTATGAAAGCACCCTCATTCCAACAAAAAAGAATCCTCAAAATCGGCTTACAAATGGCGGAGTTATCGCATAACATATATAGAAAAAAAAGCAAACAAACATAACAATTGAGAACCTCCTCCTTTTTTGAAGTCGGTTAAAAACCAAAGAGATAGAGAAGAACTGGTTAAGTCCCGTATAAATTTTAATCAATCAGGAAGCAGTATAGCGTTTGAGTAGCATCTTATTATTAATATAGCACAAATACGACGTTCTTTTTTTGAAACTCATTATAGTCCTTTGTACAGAACTTTAATGAAATTTTTTAGCTCAGTGGCGAGTACCATGGACAATAGAATTTTGATTCAGAACTAAAAAGAGCGCCTTTAAGGTATGGTCTATGAACATTCTATGAAGTTATATTTGACAGATTAAAGTATAGGAGTAGAAAAAAGTATTTTATCTACACACGTATCATAAACCCTCTCTAATGTGTTCAAAAACCGCAAATTACGACCAGCATAAAGATAAACTTTTTTGTTAGAATAAATTTCTTATCTCTGAAAATGTAATTCATCAGCATCAACCCTTTTATACGTCCCACTGCTGGGTACGGGGTGTCTTTTCAGACGAGGGTTTAGGCCAATAGTCCGCCACGCTGACCCAATGCGGGTTAGGGACTTCACACGTTTTCCGAGGGTTGTGAACCTTCTTCAACGTGCAGGTTTCATCACGATGTTGTCCTTCACCGAAAAGCTCATGATAAATGTCAAATTAAATTTCGCACATAAATTCCGAGAAACTCAAAGGTGCGAGCCCGGATTCGAACTCACGACCCTCTGCTTGAGAGGCAGTAGGTCAAACCATTAGGCTAGGTTGTCAAAGTTGTTAGGTCATAGTTGGTAGGTCAAAGCATTAGGTTATTATTGCATAATAATAACATCGAATTCGATTTTATTATTACATTCAAATTTCGACTATCTCTGAAAAACAAAACCAATTGGTTTGAATTGGATT